GCAAGTCAAGAACACCACACGCAAGTCCAGAACACCACACACAAGTCAAGACACCACACACAAGTCAAGAACACCACCGCAAGTCCAGAACACCACACGCAAGTCCAGAACACCACACGCAAGTCAACAAACACCACACGCAAGTCCAGAACACCACACGCAAGTCCAGAACACCACACTCAAGTCCAGAACACCACACTCAAGAAGTCCAGACCACCACCGCAAGCCAGAAACCACACGCAAGTCCAGAACACCACACTCAAGTCCAGAACACCACACTCAAGTCCAGTAAACACCCACGTACGCAAGTCAAGAACACCACACGTCCAGAACACCACACGCACGCAAGTCCAGAACACACAACACGCAAGTCCGAACACCACACGCAAGTCCAGAACACCACACGCAAGTCCAAACACACACGCAAGTCCAGAACACCACACGCAAGTCCAGAACACCACACACGCAAGTCCGAACACAACACGCAAGTCCAGAACACCACACGCACGCAAGTCAAGAACACAACACGCAAGTCAGAACACCACACGCAAGTCCAGAACACCACACGCACGCAAGTCAGACCACAACACGCAAGTCCAGAACCACACCACACCAAGTCCAGAACACACACGCACGCAAGTCAAGAACACAAGCACGCAAGTCGGCAGAACCACACGCAGTCCAGAACACCACACCGCAAGTCAAGAACACAACACGCAAGTCGCAGAACAGCCACACGGCAAGTCCAGAACACCACACGCAAGTCCAGAACACCACACGCAAGTCCAGAATCACCACACGCAAGTCCAGAACACCACACGTCACGCAAGTCAAGAACACAACACGCAAGTCCAGAACACCACACGCAAGTCCAGAACACCACACACAAGTCCAGAACACCACACGCACGCAAGTCAAGAACACAACACGCAAGTCCAGAACACCACACGCAAGTCCAGAACACCACACGCACGCAAGTCAAGAACACAACACGCAAGTCCAGAACACCACACGCAAGTCCAGAACACCACACGCAAGTCCAGAACACCACACGCAAGTCCAGAACACCACACGTACGCAAGTCCAGAACACCACACGCAAGTCCAGAACACCACACGCACGCAAGTCCAGAACACCACACGCAAGTCCAGAACACCACACGCACGCAAGTCCAGAACACCACACGCAAGTCCAGAACACCACACACACGCAAGTCCAGAACACAACACAAGTCCAGAACACAACACAAGTCCAGAACACCACACGCAAGTCCAGAACACCACACACACGCAAGTCCAGAACACAACACAAGTCCAGAACACAACACAAGTCCAGAACACCACACGCAAGTCCAGAACACCACACGCAAGTCCAGAACACCACACGCACACAAGTCCAGAACACCACACGCAAGTCCAGAACACCACACGCACGCAAGTCAAGAACACCACACGCAAGTCCAGAACACCCACACGCAAGTCCAGAACACCACACACAAGTCAATAACACCACACGCACGCAAGTCCAGAACACACACGCAAGTCCAGAACACCACACGCACGCAAGTCCAGAACACCACACGCAAGTCCAGAACACCACACGCAAGTCCAGAACACCACACGCAAGTCCAGAACACCACACGCAAGTCAAGAACACCACACGCAAGTCAAGAACACCACACGCACGCAAGTCAAGAACACCACACGCAAGTCCAGAACACCACACGCAAGTCCAGAACACCACACGCAAGTCAAGAAAACCACACGCAAGTCAAGAACACCACACGCAAGTCCAGAACACCACACGCAAGTCCAGAACACCACACGCAAGTCCAGAACACCACGGCACGCAAGTCCAGAACACCACACGCACGCAAGTCCCGAACACCACACGCACGCAAGTCCAGAACACCACACGCAAGTCCAGAACACCACACGCATGTCCAGAACACCACACGCAAGTCCAGAACACCACACGCAAGTCCAGAACACCACACGCAAGTCCAGAACACCACACGCAAGTCAAGAACACCACACGCAAGTCCAGAACACCACACGCAAGTCCAGAACACCACACGCAAGTCAAGAACACCACACGCAAGTCCAGAACACCACACTCAAGTCCAGAACACCACACGCAAGTCCAGAACACCACACGCAAGTCCAGAACACACACTCAAGTCCAGAACACCACACGCAAGTCAAGAACACCACACGCAAGTCCAGAACACCACACTCAAGTCCAGAACACCACACGCAAGTCAAGAACACCACACGCAAGTCAAGAACACCACACGCAAGTCAAGAACACCACACGCAAGTCCAGAACACCACACGCAAGTCCAGAACACCACACGCAAGTCCAGAACACAACACGCAAGTCAAGAACACCACACGCAAGTCCAGAACACCACACTCAAGTCCAGAACACCACACGCAAGTCAAGAACACCACACGCAAGTCAAGAACACCACACGCAAGTCAAGAACACCACACGCAAGTCCAGAACACCACACGCAAGTCCAGAACACCACACGCAAGTCCAGAACACCACACACAAGTCAAGAACACCACACGCAAGTCAAGAACACCACACGCAAGTCCAGAACACCACACGCAAGTCCAGAACACCACACGCAAGTCCAGAACACCACACGCAAGTCCAGAACACCACACGCAAGTCAAGAACACCACACGCAAGTCCAGAACACCACACACAAGTCAAGAACACCACACACAAGTCAAGAACACCACACGCAAGTCCAGAACACCACACGCAAGTCCAGAACACCACACGCAAGTCCAGAACACCACACGCAAGTCCAGAACACCACACTCAAGTCCAGACCACCACACGCAAGTCCAGAACACCA